GTGCAAGTCACTCTGACCTGGGCATATAGGCTTCAACTAGACTCACTTCTATCAACAAGCCAATTTCGGGGTTAACTCTTACAGCCTGCACTACTTACAGCTTGCTCTGGGCATAATTAATGGAGTGGTCCCCCACATCAGGTGGGGGAACCCAACTGTGAGCCAGGGAAATTCTCCAGTTAATTCTTCCAAATCTAATGGAAGAGTAGGAGCATTGTCCTTAATAAGGAGAAGCTTGAGCCATAAACTTTTCTCTTCTAGATATTTCTTAACAGCAGGATGGAAAGCTCTCTGATTCACTGAAGAAAAATGCTCTTGTTACCAGGCTGTGCATTAGATCTCCACATGAGCCCTAGCCTATTCTTCATGGCTTATGTTTGCTGAGCACTCTGGGGGACTCAGAGTGATAAACCAAGCTTTATCTTGAGGTCACCACTCACATTGGCACATAGCAGTAAGTTTAGCCCATCTTTTATAGGCTTGTGGCCTGGCATTTTCTTCTCTTCTTGGGTAGCGTGTGTTCTCCTGAGCATTTTCTTCGAGAAAATACCAATTTCATCTCAACTGAAAACTTGCTGAGAGTAAGAGCCTTTCTCTGTATCATCATTTCAAAATGGTGTATGAAATTTTCAGCAGCCCTCTTGTGAACACTGCCTGCTTCGTCATGCTTAGTTATGCTATGAAACTCAGTTCTCACTTTAAAACTGTGAGACATCCCCTACTGGCAAAAAATGTTTTACCGTTATAACTCATTGAGGAATTATCCTTTAGGAATTCTGCATTTATAGCCCTAACTTTTCACAAGTTATAAACTGTGAAAGGCTATAGCCTGCCATCTGCCTTTCATTTATCCACACTAACAATAGCCTTTCTACCTCATCTAACATTGGTGATCACTTACTAATTGAGTAACACCTTTAGCAATACTAGCTTCCTTATGCAAATCTTTTCTCTCCAAGATTGTGGAAATGATGGATTTTGACATGCTGTACATACTAACAAGATCTGTCACACGAATGTGACTCTCACGTGCCTTCTCAATTTCCTTTTTCTTTTCAAGTGTGATTGCTTTCTTTACCTTCCCTTCATTCCTTTGCTTCTTTTTTAGCTTTTGGGGCCATTTTGATAGCAGTAATTGTAGCAATTATATAAAGCTCTGACTGAAATCACATCTAAAAACATCACATCTGGGCTCATACTGATGCATAAGTATGCTTGCATAGGCTTTTTTGACATCACGAGCCTTTGTTTACAACCACACAAGTGTCCAGCATTCGGATTGTAACTCAAAACTTTGGTTATAAGTCATAACTCAAGTTGTTCGTATGTGGTGCTGGTAATAACTCGAGTATTAGCTACTATTTTGTATTTTTTCATGTTTTAGCAAAATGAAAGAGTTGACCAATGTTCAAATAGGAGTAATTTTTATCTCTCTGTCTCGTGGATAAAAATGTAATGTTTTTCAATTGCTTATAGAAAAACTAACTCTTCCTGTTGATGTAATATGTGACTATCTTTTATGAGGACATCTAAGAAAGTTTTATAGTAATTTTCAAAGGAGATCTGAGAATATTTAGATCAGTATTCTTAAAATTTACTGTGTCCTGGGAAGATGGATCACAGTAGGGAGTGGGGGCTTTTAAAACACAGTGGCATTTGGTTCTCATCCCTAACCACTGCCTAGTTGGCTAAATTCGATGGTAAAAACACTGGTTTTGATTAATTAACTCTGAGTTTTAAGCTTTACAAAATTAATGAAGTCAATATCCATTTAAATTTTTTTGGCAATTAGAGTGAAAGCATAAAGTATAAAAGTAAAATAAAATTTATATATCACTTAATGTTTGGTTAAGAGATGCTTTTAAATCAAAAGATAGTCTTTATCTCATTTTGTATTCATGTTATTAGAATATACATTTTTGCCAAAAATTATGAATGTTATGATCCATGTACACACACAGATTTGTCATTAAAACCTGGAAACTGCTTTCCTCCCACATCATTTTCGTATTTGGCATCCAGTCAAAGCTGTAATAGGGAGACAGCACCTATGATCTGCTCCATCTCCACCTAATGAACCCTTAGCTGCAGGGAATGTTAGTTCTTTTTTTTTTCTAACTTTTTTTTATTGAGTTTATTGGTACAATCTAGGTATACAGCATGGTTACATTAATTACTGGGATCCTGTACCTTCACATGACAGGTCTTGGTTCTCATTTTTTCCCCTTGTCCCTGCCCTCCCTTCACCCCCTTCCCCCTCCCCATTTACAAAAACAGAGTTGAGGGCCCTGAATTTTAACCCTGTGGAAACTAGAGACATTAGCTGCCTGTGGATCACACAGCTCTGTGACAGTGATGCCTGTGCCAGCACAGATTTCTGACCGATTTCAGGCAATTTCCAAGCTACTGCCTTTGACTGCTTTTATAGGCATTAAGGGAATGTGAAATGGGTGGAGATTGGGGAAGATGGTAGGAAAGTGAAACAAAAATTAAACTTTCAGGCTTTCCATCCCAGGTAGTAGACTTGTTTAGGAGTAGAAGCTGTAATGTAGATGTATCATTCCTATGTGCAAGATAAGAGTCTCTTATTATTTGATAAAAATTCTGTTGTGCATCACTTGCCAGGATGCAGTATCAGGTATCAATTGATAAAACGGACTTAAATGTTTTCTACGGTCACTTTAGGAAAAAAATAAATTACTCTTTGAGTCAGCATTCATTCAGATTGTAAACACTTGATATATTTTCTGTTTTTTCCTCATTGAGTTTATTGGTACATTTTAGGTATACAGTACAGTTACGTTGGGATCTTGTACCTCTACATGACAGGTCTTGGTTCTCATGTTTTCCCCTTGTCCCTGCCCTCCCTTCACCCCCTCCTCCCCTCCCCATTTACAAACACTTTATTTCCATTTTTTCATTTTCTCATATGTTTTTTCTTTTCCCTTATTACCTTTCCCCTACCCTTCCCACTTTCCCTACACCTTTAGCCCTTTTCTTCCTATTTCACATTGTCAATGATGTCATTAGGATCTTTCTTATGTACTATTATAGTTTTTCACACCAGAGAAACTATTCGGTATTTACACATGGGTGACTTATTTATTTCACTTAGGAGTATATATATTTTCTATTTCCATCAAAAATAATGGATAGCTATGCATCCTCAAAAATTGATAAGGATGCCAGAAACTTTGGAAGCAAGACCCAATTGCTTAAGGAAAATGGGCAGAGATCCTTTCAAATCCAGGTCAACTGCACATTTATAGTTTCTGTTAGCAGTTCTAAGTCATAGAGAATGGTAACATGGCTGGCGACTGTGGCATTTGGCCCATATTTGAGCTTTATTCCCACATGATTATAGATGACTGAATCCTTTCATGGTACTTTTAAGAGACATATTGTTTATCTGAGTTAGTAGCTCCTGTCTAAGCTTAATCTAAGCTACCTCAAATCCTGATGTGATAAACTCACTGGAGTTACTGAGGTAGTTGTCATGGTACAGGCATTTCTTGAGTACATTGTCATTTGGCAAGTGTGTATTTCTATGTCAGTGATGTTATGTGACATCCAGAGTGGATGATTGGTTCCCTAGCCTTTCGTGGATGTGTCATATCACCACTTTTTTTTCAATAATAATTCTGTTCATGGTTTTGGGAGCTTGAGGCCTCATCAGGAGATAAGGAGACTGCTAAGGTGCATAGGGTGAAGGAACCACAGAAGAATGTAAATATTGTTTTCTCCTCCAAAATACTTGGATCAGAATATTTTTTCTAATATTAAGTGAAATCCTGTATAAATTACAATGGTGACCATCTAGGGAAAATAATCTCTATTTATTTAGTTTGAAAAGAGTGCTTGGGGACCTGGAAGGAATCTTGGCCTTGGAAATTAAATAGTTCAGAGTTTTGCCTTTCCTGTAACCTCTCTGAAGCCAGTGACCTCTCAGAAATCAGTCTTCTGGGAAGTAGGACCCATACCCTCAGCCAGTCATCAAAGATAGAATCAATTTTCACATTGATGCACACAGAATTATTTCTTCTTTTAATTAGTAAACTCCTTCAAGTTAAATTTTGAGTTTTTTTCCCTAAGCTGGAAATAACTGTAAAATCACAGTGGAACGTGTTAATACCTGGAATTGTGTAATCTCAAAATACTGATGTATGTACCTTTTTAGCTTAGATAAGTGGCATCTGCTTTATAGTGGTTCTCTGGCCTTTTTGGAAACAATGTTGTAATTTCAAAGTTAGTTTTAGCAGGTAGAGGTTAAAAAATATCTTATCCCAATAAATAGAAATGACTAACAAAATTAGTAGTTTCCCATGTTGGTGCCATTCACATCATTGAAAGATCTGTTTCTATCACTTAAGAGAATCCTTTATTTGTTATGTCCATTTATAGCACACAGTATTCATCTCATTCATTCAGAATATTTCAAGTCACGATTGTTCAATATTTACTTCAAGTAGTGGCTGCATTTTGATTAATAGATCACTCCCTAACTTTGGAGAGTTCATTTTTAAGACCCTATTTTTCCTTTAGTCTATCAAAGTATCAGATTAAGGTATCGGTAGCTTAGAAATTTTTATTTGTGTCCTAACTCAAAAATGAAGGTTAGCAAAGATAATTGTCCTGCTCTCAGAAAACTTGCTTGGATTTTTGAACTCTAGCATAAACATGATTTTGTTTAATCTTGGGGTACCGAGGAAAATGCCCTTAATCTTTGGAAATGGACTAACACAGCCAGGCTTGGGAGTGCATGCCCATTACCCTAGCACTCCGGGAGACTGAGTGAATAGGATTACAAATTCAAGCAATTTAGAGTTCTAGTGAGATCCTGTCTCAAAAAAAGAAGAAATAAATAAGTCAGTAAATAAGTCTGTCAGGGGATGTAGCTCAGGGCAAAGGTCCCGAGTGCAATCCCCAGCGTCTCTTAGAATAAAACAAAACAAAAACAGGACTACTATGGCCCATGGTCCTCTGGTTGTTGTCTTTTCCAGCCACACCCCTGAGCTCACTTAAGCCCGCCCGCGTGGACACCGCTCCTGTGGTTGATTCTGCTTATCAAAGAAGAGACTCGGACCGGTACTGCGGGCTCTGTACGGCCTGGTTCAACAACCCGCTGATGGCGCAGCAGCATTATGAAGGCAAGAAGCACAAAAAGAATGCGGCTCGAGTTGCTCTGCTGGAACAGCTGGGGACAAGCCTGGATATGGGGGAACTGAGAGGTAAGAGCGCCTGTCCTCCGGGAAGGCGGCGCGTGTTCACAGGTTCCGGTGATCCTTCTGCTGCTTTGATTATTAAGGAAAATATGAGATTCCCTCAAAAGCAATGGGAAAAAAAGAAAGTAAGCAGCCACTAGCTTTAGCCTGAGTTTTGTAATTTCCTTCTTTGCAAAGTGTTTATTTGCATATTTTGGACTGTTTTTGGTCAGTGGCGCCACCCATAAAATAGACGTTTTCCCCTTTCCTCCGTCCTTAAATGTCTTCCCTTGTGAGTACTTTTGCAGAGGAGCCGCATGAGAGAACATGCTGGAGAGGCCAACTAGTGTCATCTCATTTTAAACTTCTGTGTCTAAGAGTTCAGCCAAAACAGAACAGTGGTGCTTCTGTTTGGCACCGCGCATTTAGCACCTGCCTGACCCCTGTGTGGACAGGGCCTCTGAGCGCCGGGACCAGGCGACACTGGGGTCTGCAGGAGGTGTCCCTCAGACTGCTGCACAGACCTGGAAACTGTAGGCTGACAGCTCGTCCTGTGGATCATGTTAGGGAATCATAGCCAATTGATAGGGCTCGTCGGAATATTCTGTTATCAGCAGCCATTTAAACGTATTGTGATGACTACGTCATATGTGACCAGCTTCGTCTTGGCAGAGAAGATGTGGAACAAAACTGCAAACTATACGTGAAATGGATGTTTTTTCAGAAAAATAATGCTACACTTCATTTATTCTTCCTGTTTCTCATGTAAGAGAAACCATGTGCTAGTTAAGCTCCTGTGTCTGATTTCTTTCACCTAACATTATGGTCTCAAGGTGCATCTATTTTCATAATGGATGACAGGGAAATAGATGTTTTGAAAATGGGAAGGGGACCAAGAGTTGAGGGGAAAGGAGAGGGAGAAAAAGGGAAGGATAAATAAAAAGAATGAAAATACGCTATGTATGTACCACCTCCCCACAATGAATGTGGCTGTTATTACTGCAAACATGTACTAACAAAATTTTAAAAACAAGAATTTTTTTTTTTTTTGTATCGAGGATTGAACTGGGGTCTTTGTGCTTGCAAGACAGACGGCAGAACCATTGAGCTAAATCCCCAGCCCAAGAATAATTTTTCAAAGGTTACTGTTGATGCTTAATCTCAGATTTGCTATCTGAGCCACTAGATGTGCTTTCGTGGGTTCATCAGGAAACTCACGACAGCTGTGAGTTATAAAGGACAACATTCACAAATCAGTTATGAGAATGCAGCCTAGGTTTAAGTTGTATTTTGCACTTTGAACCTATGAATCTTATTACACTAATCTGGCTATGAACTCTAAGAGAGATAATTATAACAGGAGATGACCGGGTCTGTCTCCTGACCGTGTAAGTGGGATGAATGATTTTGGTGTGTGAGTTGGGAGGAGAGACAGGTCACTTCCAAATGTGTTGATTGGAAAAGTTTTGACCAAGAAAAAGGGGGTGGAATTAGAAAAGCATGGGGCATTTTAGCATGTGAGAAAGTATTCCATGTGAGCAGAGTTATGTACACACAGGCAAAAGAACAGGATAAGCCATGAAATCAACCAATAACAAATGCTGGCCAGGATTTGGGGAGAAAGGAACCCTTCTCCATTGTTGGCGGGAGTGCAGACTGGAGCAACCACTGTGGAAATCAATATGGAGATGCCGCAGAGAACTAGGATTAGAGGTGCCATTTGACCAGCTATCTTTCTGTGTTCCAAAAGAATTGAGAGTCATAGCACAGTGATATATGCACACCCATGTTTATATCAGCACAGTTTATAATAGCTAAAACTGGGAAACAGCCCAAGGTTCCATCAACTGGGGACTGGATAAAGAAGATTGTGGGGGGGTGGGGGGTGCATTTTATAATAGGGAGTACTACTCAACCAGAAAGAACAAGAAACTAGAAACATTTATAGCTAATTGGATGCACATTGAGGCCGAACTCTTTTGTTTGTTTGTTGTTTTTGTTTTTTGAGACAGGGTCTCACTATGTAGTTGAGACTGACCTGGAACTCACTCTGTAGCTCAGGCTGGTCTCGAACTGATAGCAACCTCATGCCTCAGCCTCCTGAGTGCTGGGATTACAGGCATGCACCACCACACCAGGTATAGGCCATACTCTTAAGCTAAATAAATAGGACACACGTGTAAATACTGAATAGTTTCTCAGGTGTGAGAAACTAAAAGTGTAAATATGGATCAAAATGTATAATTGATATTGTGAAATAGGAAAGAAAAGGTCTAAAGAATTAGGGGAAGTGGGAGGGGTAGGGAGAGGAAAGAAGGGAAAAGAAAAAATTTGAGAAAAGGAAAACATGGAAGTAGTCTTTGTAAATAGAGAAGGGTGGAGGGGGTGAGGGAGGGCAGGGGAATGGGGAAAAATAAGAATCAGGATACATTATGTAAAGGTACAAGATCCTAAAGATGAATGTAACAATATCGTACACCTGAAATGTATCAATAAATTTAATGGGGGAAAAAAAAACGATCAAGGGGTAAGCAGTAGAAAGCCCCTTATCAAATGGAAGAATTCTATTATACCACATGGATTCAAGGTTACAGGGTCCAGGAGAGAACATGATTAGAGATTTATTTTAGTAATTAAAAACAGTAACTAAGATAAAAATATAAAGCCCTTGATTTGGGGGTGTATATTCTAGCTATGCTATTGTAGTATGTAAGATAGTCTCACTGAAGGAGATTTTGAACCCTTAGTATTGTTGCTCTTTTCGTTAAGGAATCTCTTATGTTTTCCTTCAACATTTTGTCAAAAATATGACAAGTCTCCATAGCTGAAGAATGACCTGCAACTCTGCTGCTCCTGGCAGATAACAAGTTGGCTCCGTGCTCCTTCAGGGAGGGGCACTGAAGGAGAAAAACAGGCCTTTATTTATGTTTTGTGCCAGGTATTATGACCTGAGGAAGAATTATTCCTGCGGCACATGGTTCTTGTCTATTTTGAATTATCTGTGCTGCGTCTTTTCTGTGCAACCATTTCATAACGACTCGAGTATCTGAATTCTGTAACTCTAAGCAGCTTGTCTTTTATGCAGAAGAGAAAAAGGCTGCTCTTTGACTTGATGACTCAATATGACTATGACTCAGTAGCACATGGAATGCGATTAACATTGAGCACAGTGTTCTTGCATCCAACTTTTTCACCCAGCCCAGGTGACATCCTGATACGTATTCATTCCACTATTGAATACTGCATCAGCTTGAGGAATAAAGCAAACATGGTAACCTGAATCTTTTAAAAACACGCACACACACGCACGCACCTATTCTGGAATGCTTTTAGTAAGTGGCAGATTGATTAATAAAGTCAAAAGTGCTGAGCTGTGAATGCAGGCACGTCCCTGATTTTTGAAACTTGCTCTCAGGTGATGGAGAATGAAACAGTAATGTCACTGAGGGTGATGCTTTCTGTTCCTTTTTCTGATACCACCTTTCACATTTTTAAACATTTTAGCATTGACTTATTTTTATGGTTTTCCTGACTTTCTGTTTTTTTTTTCCTACCCTCCCCCTTGTAGGCTTTTGGCATCTTGAAAGCAGGTATCTGTTTTGCTCATTGACATAAGGATTCAGAGCTCCTAAACCAATGGCAGACATGTAGCAGGCACTCAGAGTTGCTGACTGAATAAACAGAAAGGTGAAAACTATTTCAAGCCCCACATCTCTAATGTGGCACTTTGGGGTGTGTTTTGAGCACCCATAAGACCATCAGGCCTCAAGCGTGCCAGACAAAGGCTCACTCCTGAGCTACACCTCTGTCCACCCATTGTTTATTTCTGAAATAATTCTGATTGGATACCTTTTACACAAAATTAGTCATGATTCTTTTCTTCTAATTTTGAAAAATAGTATTTTGAATACAGTGAAACATAGATCTTTAAGTGTTGTGCTTTGATGGATTTAGACGCTGTAAATGCTAGTATACCCACACTCATTAAAATAACTGACCATTCACAGCTGAATTCTACAAGACCTTTAGGGGAGTTGCAACACCAATACTTTTCAAATTCTACTGAATTTGAAAGAGAAGGAGTACTTCCAAACTCATTCCTGGAAACCAGTATCACTCTGATTCCAAAAGCAGATAGGACCCAAACATAAAAGAAAACTATAGGCCAGTCTCTTTAAGAAACAGAGATGCAAAAATCCTCAATAAATTATTGGCAAATAGAATGCAACAAATCATCAAAAGCCCTGTACATCATGACCCAGTAGGTTTCATCCCAGGGATATAGGGATGTTTTGACATATGCAAATCAATAAATGTACTGTATCACATAAAAGCAGCAAAGATGAAAATCTCATGATAATATCAATAGGTGCAGAAAAAGCCTTTGACAAAATCCAACATCCTTTCATGACAAAGACCCCAAAGCAAATAGTCATAGAAGGACTTTACCTCAGTCTTATAAAAGCCATTTATGACAAAACAACAGCCAATCATATAAAATGGGGGAAAGCTGGACGCTTTCAGCTTTCCCTTTAAAGTCACGGGCAGGACAAGAACATTCATCATCACTACTCTGTTCAATACACTTCTCAAAACATTAGCTAGAGCCATCAGGAAAGTGAGAGAAATGAAAAGTTTATGAATAGGGAAGTAAGACATCAGACTATCATTACTGTCACAAGACACGATCCTTTATATAGAAGATCTAAAAATCATCACCAAAAGGCTTCTAGAATTAATAATTAAATTCAGCAGTGTATCAGGTATGCAGTCAATACAAAAAACCAAAAACAAACCATGGTGTTCCTGTATACTGATAATGAGCCAAGAAAGAAATGAAACACATTACCACCAAGAACAATTCAATACTTAGGAATTAATCAGTCAAGGAAGTGAAAGTCTCTACGATGAAAACTGTAGAACTCTAAAAAATTAGATGAAAGAGTATATCAGAAAATGGAATCACATCCGCTGCTCCTGGATAAGCAGAACCAATATTGTAGTAATGGCCATACTCCCAAAACTGA